AGGTGTATTTATGTAGTATTATTTTAAATATTAAAAAATTTAATTATAGTACGGAACCGAACGGAACCGAACCGAACCGAACCCGAACGGTTCCAAAATTATATTTGGAACCGACGGTTCCATTTACTAAAGAACCGAAAATTTCTGGAACCGAAAAAAATCGAACCGAACCGAACCGACCCGCGCCCACCCCTAGTGTTATGTCAAGGATCATTTATTGGTGAACGAGAATTTGGCTTCCGTCCCTATTCTTGTTGGCATTAGATAAATGAAGGCCTTAATTAACATAAATTATAACATGTCATAGTCATAAATCAAGGTCTTACTCATATTGTAACACGTCATAGGGTTTGATGTAATATAAGGTGACATAAAAAGTTGAGAAAATTACCTAGAAACCTACTTTTAAAGATTCATTTTCAAAAAATATGTGGATTAATTTTTATTTCACAAATCAAGTGGTAATTAAGTTTTAATAATCATAATTAATAAAAAATTAATTAAGCCCCTGTTTGTTTTAAATTCTTTCAGCCATTTAGAAATTCCAACCGTTAGGCAACAGAAATTGACCTTTTGTTTCACGGTGGGACCCTCAAACAATGCATAAACCTAATCTCTACATATTCACCTCACCTAAAGCCCACCCACGCACCATTTCAAAATCAGTAATTAAATTTCTCTTACTACTCATTCTCTCTCTCTCCATCCATCGTCTTCCTTCTCTCCTCATTTTCCATCGGCAGCCACTGTGGAGCAGCGTTGCCGGGATCGAGTCGTCCAACCACAACCGCTCGTCTGCCATCGTCGCTGGAGGCATGCCGTTGCTACAAGCAGCGACGCACTGAAGTTGATTGGATCTGGTTTTGGATATGCGTGATGATGTCGTCGTGGTTACAATCGATGGGATATGGCTAGGTGGTGGTGAAGTGTAGTTGTGCTGAAGAGGTGGTTTGGCGGTGTTTGAAGTGGTGTCGATGGCGGGTGGATTGAGGGACGAGAGATTGTGATCTGCTAT